CTTTTTTCCATCGCGCCCAACATTCTTGACTTTCAATGAAACGGGTTTTAATCGACGCATTTTAAGCTTAAATCTTCATAGATTACTGTGTTATTGTTGTTAAATTTAAATGGAGTCCTTAGATATACCAAGATTCACCAGTGAAAAGATTTGATTGGTCGATTTGTATATGAATATGTAATTAGTTGCTCAGATGACTTAGATGATCATTTAAGACGGCTTCGACCCATTGATCTAAATTTAGTTTAGCTGGGTATTAGCCATGTAGATCGTGTGAATAGGGTGATTCTTCAGCTTCCATTATGGCATAGACTCTTTCTCTCGCGCGTGACTTCGCTATGTCTATTTCTAGTCTAAGCTCTTCAATACGTTGTCTCTCCTTCAAAAGTGACCTCTCGGCCATCATCTCGGCCAGCTTGAGGCGCTCCTTTTCTCTGGCTGAAGCAGCTGAACCCGTCGATCTTCTTGAGTGGCGCGGGCGCTTGGAGACTTTAGATGACATTGAATTACATTCTAAGAGGTTGGCTCGTTCTGCTAATCGTGCTTCTCCTAGCTCAATCCACTGAATTATTTGATTTCGAAACTCCAGCGCTGCGCTTTGTTTGGCGATAGAATAATCATCTTCCTTATCTTAAATACTCAACCAGGGCTTCATGAGCTGCTTGAAAGTCATCAAATAAGGAGTTAAGCTCTTCAAATTGCGATTTAACTAGATGCAAATTTTCTTCGTCTGAGAGAAGCTGTAAGTTTCGTTCTTTTCTTCGAAGCCTCGCGAAGAGCGGTTGTTCTTCGATTTTTTAAAATTCTAATATTTTCTTGCCTTCCTCTTTCAGTCGGAATATTAATTCTCTCTCTTTCGCGCCTCTCTGCGGTATTGTCATTAATTTGCATATCATTATCGAGATCTGAAGTTGGCGCCTTCGGGTCTGGCGTGCTTGTGCAATGATCCATAACATTGGTCTTCAAAACAAAAGTTTGTCTAACAGAATGTCATCGGGTTTACAGAATCAAATGCCTTTGGCAGATCTAGAAAGATGCTTACTGCGGTATTGCGTTTGCCATTGGATAAAATGTTATCAATGCTTGAAGAGCGAGTTATAGTTTTTTTTCCTATTCAGAATCAGTTCACAAACTCCAACAGTGCACCCCCCCTTCCACCCCCAAACTTTGGAATGTAAACATGTGAAATGAAATGAAACATTTGCTTATCCAGGGTGATCTCAGGAACACTGTTATCAAAATATTGCAGTGGGAGCTCAACATTCAATGAAAAGCTGACATTCCGAGATAAGCATTTTATATTGTCGTTCGCGGAGGGTCCATATCAGATTTAACGTAAAGTCGCAAAGTCGAGAAAAATGCATTTCTTTGTTTGGAGCCGAAAGCTGCAGGGAGCCACGATGGTGTTGGTCAAAACACCTTGAGCCTTCCATTTTGTTATCACTTGTCAAATTATCTGCTGTTCTGGACGATCACAACGTAGGATCTTTAACAAGGACAAAGGAGCATTTGGTTATTGCAAGCGACGGGACATTTCCGGTCTTGATAAAGTCACGATTTCGAATTGTCTCAAAATTTTTGCTTTTCCAATCAAAAACTGCAAGAAGTTTCACTACAATTTCAAAAAAAAAAATTTTCGAGCAAATCGTCATTTTTCGTATCCTAATACCTTAATTTAACAAACATCAGGGCCCAGTTGTACGAAGCCTGGATAGCGCTATCCGGTGGATAAATCCTTATCCAGGGGATAAGTCGATGCTGTTATCCAATAAATTTATTCGTCGGATAGCACTATCCAGGCTTCGTACAATTTTGCCCATGGGGCAGAGAGTCATATACGTCATAGGACAGGCTAAGGCCTGACCGAAAGGTTGCATAAGAGTAAGGTCAAATTTGGTTTGTACGTTATGACTTTTCTTCAAGACCAACGCGGCCTTGTAACTCGTATTTAAGACCTGTGTGACATTTGTTAATGATTATGAAATAAAATATTTTTTGGAGTTAATGTTTCTTTGATTGTTGTCCCTTAACAATGGATATAGAGTAACAATTTTATTTGGGAGAGAGAAACCAAATCTTTTCACTGCTTAGAAGCTTTTTAAGAATGCTTGAATAATTATTTTTGCTTTTATTTTGTAGTTTTAGTTATCAAGTTGTGATTATAATATTGGTAATGTATGAAAACGAATGAGAGCTTGATATCAGTTACTTAGTCATAACTTCTTATACGAGTGTTTTTCTTATTCAGAGTTAGTTCCGCACGAACTCCAACAGTGCAGCCCCCCAAACTTTGGAATGTAAACATGTGAAGCGAAATGAATTAAACCTTTATTTATCCAGGGTGGTCCCAGGAAATAACTATTGCTATCAAAATATTGCAGTGGCAGCTCAACATTCAATGAAAAGCTGAACTTCCGAGATAAGCATATAAATAGCATCCCCTCCTTCTCTCCCTTAACAAATCTTTGCTCTCAACTGCACGCTTAGAGGTTTTCTGAGAAAAACTTAAAGTATTTTTTGTTTTTATTTTGTAGTTTTAGTTTCTCAAGTTGTGATCTGATTATGATATTAGTATTGTAATAAAACGAAGGAGAGTTTGATATCCACCACTTTACCACTTTTTCAAAATATTTGTAATACTCAGGTATGTTGAATATATGATAAAACTTTGAACGCGTTTCAACGTATTTTTGAATGATTCATGGCCGTATTATTCAGCCGTACCAGAAGAACATAACATACCTAGTCTTTCTGTTTACATGAGTAATGATTGAAAATATTGAAGAAATGCAGCAGTGTCGACCCAGGCGTGTGGGAAAATTCACTGAAGTGTATACTGTACTATGATTACGTAGCACGATTGACTGGTTTACACTTTTTTATTGTTTCTTAAATAAAAAAAACAGACGGTAATCTATATTATCAACCATTTCTCGCAACGCTCGAAACAATAAGGTTTATGAACTGTTTATCCCGCGAATCACTCTTCCCACGGTTGTAAGAAATGAAGGCAGAAAAGGAGGAMAACATAGACTTTCACGGGCCTGAAAARTCCAAAGCCCTTCATAAATCCYGTAAAGTCAAATACAYGATAGTTGCAGTCGTATCTGTAACACTGTTAGTGGCCGCTGTCAGTTTGCTTGTTGCATTTTGGCCGGGAAAGCACAAGGTTTCAAAATGCCTGGTTGAAGTCAACCTAGAAGAGGGTGATACTTTAATGTATCGTGTTGATCAGAATTTTGAAGTCAAGGGAAAAGATTCACAGAAAGGTAAATATGAAATAAATAGTCCTGTATTCATCTAGTTTTAAGTTGTGTTAGCAGTTGAAATAAAACCTAGTATTCCTTGTTCTTGTCTTCGCTGCAATATCTAGTTAAGCTTCCTCTTATTTTTAAGTCTTTTTCTCCTTCACTTTTGTATTATATTCAATGTGCAACCATGAGTAGCATTCAGTATAAGATAGGCAGAACACATGCACAGTTGCATAAATCGGTGAAGCCAGCGGTCGCGGTGGTTCGGTTCCCCATCTTGGACTGTGAAGTACGGCAGTTTTCTGAGCTCCCTTCTCTTAAGACGAATATTCGCGCGGTAAATATCCCCCCCCCCCCCCCCCCCC